TGGGGTGTGGCGGGCGGCCCTGCGTGTGGTGGTTGGGGTGTGGCGGGCGGCCCTGCGTGTGGTGGTTGGGGTGTGGCAGGCGGTCCCGCGTGTCCTGGGCACGCTTGCCAGGTCACTAGTGGAGAAGGTTGCCCATCACGATGCTCATGCAGAGCCTCGGAAGCCGCGGGGGGCCGCTGCCAGCTCTCTCCATTCTCCGCTTCAGACTTCTCGTCACCGACTGGGACGCACAGACCACAGAGCAGAGTCTGCGTGGGGCACACACAGATTAGAGAACGAAACCCCTTCACACCACGCACCAGCGCCCAGCTCCGCAGACCACGCGCCCCAAGAGCCCACACCGCAGACGCCTGTGTCTGTCATCTACCCATCCCTGTCCAGCCGCCATGGGCCCTCCGGGTTACACGCTGGATGCTGCCACCCACCCTAGGCTGGATACCCCTCGCTGGACACCCCACGCTGGACACCCTGTGCTGGGCCCCACTCCACTCGACCCCACCCCAGCCTCAGGCGGCAGGTCCTCAGAGCCACAACTGGCGCTGATGTCTGTGCTGAGAAGCGTTTCGATGGAGCCAAGGCAGCTTCTCTCCGGCTCTTGATGTCCCCTCCTGTGTCAGGACCAGGCTGTCCCGCCGTGGCTGGGCGGGACCCCTCTCCATCTGTGGGGTTTCTCGCTGCTGGCCCTGCGCTTGTTGAGTCTGGCCATGCCAGCGAGTGCTTGGCACTGGTGGACACAGCCTGGGGGGAGGGTCACACCTGCGCTGCCCGGCAGGGCCAGGGGTGGGGTGCACACTCCCAGGGCAGCCTGATGGGGTCGGGCGGGGGGCTGGCAGGGGGGGGCACCCCCAGCACACCCTGAGAAGCTCAGCCTCAGGTCTGCCAGCCTTTCCCGTCGCCCACAGAGCCCCTGGGGATGAGGGTGGGTCCTGGACTCCCACAGCCCAGGCCTCGGGCCAGGAACCTGAGCCTCTTCCCCAGAGTCCAGGGCGGCTGCTAGAGGCCGGGCGTGAATGACCGCGGCCCTCAGTCACCGAGCGTCTGTGGATCGTCCACCCCCGTCCGTAACCAAATCCACCAACACAGCCTCGTGGCTCACGTTCACCAAAAGTGCATTCTAAAGGGGGGGATTCAACACAAAAGAATGTTTATAAATAAGGTTCCCAGCCCAGGGAGTTTCCCAGACCTGACGTTCATTCCCTCCTTCGAATCCCCTGCCACTTCCTACCTGCTTCTGCATCCGGGCTGCACAAAGCATTTGCTGGCATTTTTGGCTCACATTCGCAGAAGTCCTGTGAGGTTTTTATCCCCATTATTTTCTCTCTCTCTAATTTTTATTGTATTTTTTATTATTATTATTTTTGTAAGCACTGGGCATTGAACTCAGAGCCTCATGCTCTTGCTTGGCTGTTTAGATTTTTCTCAAGGCTGGCACTCTACCACTTGGGCCACATCTCTACCTCTGGTTTTTGCTTGTTAATTGGAAATGCAAGTTTTGGGATTTTCCCGGCTGGTCTGTCTTCCAGCTGTTTTCCTGGGATCTCAGCCCCTTGAGCCGCAGGGTTTGCAGGTGTGGCACCAGAGCTTGACTTGTTTCCACCAGCTAACAGACAAAAGGACGACATTGAGAATGGTGAAGGAAAGCATCCAAGTCTGCACAAGTCTGCGGGCTGAGGCTCAGCTCCGGCCGCGGGTGGCTCTCACTGCCCTCCCCCAACGCTGGGTCACAGCGGGACCCACAGCACACGCCTCTCACGCCTGTGTACACATGTCTACGCCTGCATACTCTCACCCCTGCACGCACACATCTGCACACCCCTGCCGTACATCCTTTGCAGTTCTGAAGGGGGGGGGCAGAGTTCTTGGCCTTGCGGCTCGGCTGGGGCGAGGATGTGCTCAAGCCACGCAGACAAGCAGGTGTGGCCTCCTCCGCCCGCTCCTGTGAGCCCCAGACCCCAGCAGCTCCTCTGCCCGCAGGAGGCTTTGGGTATCCGCGGTTCCGCTGCAAACACCACCAGCGCCCGTCCTGCTGCTGAGGCCAACCCCAGAGGGTCTCATTATCCACACGGCTGCAGTCCCAGCCCCAAACCCATCTGCAACACGTGCTCCATCTGCCTCGACACCGTGAGCAGCAGAAACGGACCTCCCGGGAGGGCGTGGTCACGTCTGCTAGGAAATACTAAGGATAAGAAAGACAACTCACAGCCCAACAGGTTTTACTGAACAACTTGGGAAGGGCAACCAATCTTCAGCCCGGCTGGAGAAGAAATAGTGCACGATTTCCTTACAGCTAAGGTCTCATTTTATTAGGTAGAGAGAGCTAAGTTAGGCAGGGCAGGGGGCAGGGGTCATTTGTCATGGGAGGGGAACAGGAGAAGGGGCTCTTTGTGCCGAGATCGAATCTTCTCTTGAGTTATAGGGAGGGCTGTGTGTGTGTGTGTGTGTGTGTGTGTGTGTGTGTGTGTGTGTGTGTGTGTGTCTGCACTCTGGCCATCAGCGCATGGGTTATCTCTTCCACAGCTGTCTAGGGAGGGGGAGCTGAGGGAGATGGTCCCGGAGGTTTGCAGCGAGCGCATTTCTAAAATGGTGCTGTGGGGGTAAAGGTGAGTGTGTCTAGTTTGTCATTTTCCAGCAGTGTCCTAATCTCCTTCCAGACGCCCCGACTTCCCCCATGTGTGCCTGTGGGGCGCAGACACCAGAGTACAGCCACCGGACAAGGTGAGTCGCTGCTTCCTGCCCACACCTCAGGCTTGGCCTGAGAGCCCCGAGGACACACCAGTGCCGTTCATTCTCATTACGGGGCACGGGGCAGCGGCCGGAGGGAAGGAATCTTCCAGGAGCAGTGTGCGTGTGGAGCAGTGTTGAAGCCACCACATCTTCTCTGTCTTTCCACAGAAGGTGAGGATTCTAGCACAGCACCCGCCTGGCTCCTGGTGAGCCCCCTCCACCGCCCCCACCGTCCCACCGTCCCCACCGTCCGACCGTCCCCACCGCCCCACCGTCCCCACCCCCCACCGTAGCAGCTCGTGGGCATTCTCACTGTGGCAGGGCTGAGGGACTGCCGCGAGGAGGTTTCCCCCACCAAAGCCAACCCAACACCAGAGCCAGCCCCAGAGCAGCCAAGTCCAAGGGGTGGCCTGTGGCCTGTGCAGGTGAGAGGGTGGACGAGGAAGACCAAGGCATGGTAAATGCTGCCGGAGATTCAAACATCTCCAGCCAAGAGCAAATACAGATGTCCATCCTCCACCTCCCGTTAGAGTATAGGACCAACAGCATTTTAGGGGGAAATGAGACAAGTTAAATTGAGGAAACAGGCGTGGTGAAGGCCACTCAGAAACATGCTGTCTCGAAGCACAGGTGCGCTCTGCTTCAGAGAATGACAACAGGGCATGTCCCTTCCTGAGAGAAACGCCCCCAAAGTGACCAAGGGCGGGCCCGAAACGCCAACAACCAGAATGGTAACCCAAAGCCAGAAAAGTAGCAAGTGTGTCAACACCAAGAGTGACTGAAAGCAGAGATGAACTCCTATCTTCATGTCAGAGCCCTGCCATTACCAGATAAACACCCTGACGCCAAAGCGCCGTGCGGCCCCCTCTAGAGCACCCACATGCTGATCGAGTGTGTTGCGGTTTCGCCTTTGTCTGCTGCTTGCTAGTTTACTCAATAAAATCCCACCAAGTTCTCTTAACCACTGTGATTCGCCCAGAAATTCTTACTCTGTGATCACCGAAGTCAAGGACCCTAAGGGAAGAGCTCACACTGGGTTTAAAGTTACTTTCTTATTTCTATAGAGGTGATATGCAGAGGGGTTGCGCTTAGGAGTCAGGTAACGAGGACATTTCCTGTGCACAGTGTCAGCTGCTGAGTTCCTACTTTTAAAGGGAAACGCCACAAACCTTCACCAGCATCCAGTGACAAAGGGGTGGCACTATCTCACAGCCAGCCATCGTGGAACGCACGCTCCATAAACACGCACATTGGGAAGACCGGGCCATCTTCCCGCTGTCCACAGCGCGTCTGGGTCATCACCAGACACCTCATGCACTGGCCGCTCACAGATCCTTTTCATCATGCTTATTGTATCTGTTCCTCCTCCTCCCCCTCCCCCTCCTCCTGTTTCTTCCAGTCTGGATCTTTTTTTTTTTTTTTCTTTAAGGCCAGTCTGGATCTTAAACTCAGGGCCTGGGCACTGTCCTTGAGCTTCTTTTGCTCAAGGCTAGCACTCTACCACTTGAGCCACAGTGCCACTTCCAGCTTTTTCTGTGTATCTGATTCTGAGGAATGGAACCCAGGGCTTCATGCACGCTAGGCAAGCACTCTACCACTGAGCCACCTTCCCAGCAGTATTTGTTAATTCTTGAATGGTTTTAATCTGTTGTGATTTCTATTCCAGTATCCTCTCCCCTCACTCCTCATTTCTGCCTCCTCACACGTCTGGGTGGTCCCTCCGGAGTTCACGCTGGAGGGAGCCATCGCCGTCTGGTCAGTTGGTGAAGGGGTCACTGCGTCTGGTGGAGAGGGCTGGGACTGGGGGTCCCGGGGGCATGGCGGGGGTCCCAGGGGCGTGGCTGGGTGGCATAGGGCAGCAGGAGGGACAGGAGGACCGTCTTGGCCGCAGCCTGGCCAGTGAAGAATTTTAGCAGAGAGAGGAGAGAGGGGCAGTCGCTGCTTGTGCCTGGAATTTTAGGGAGTGGCAGAAACATTCAACAGGAATTTTAAGGCGTGTTGGTGGGAATTCTGCCGGCCAGAGTTTCTGTGTGTCTTGGCGGGAGGAGAGGGAGGAGGAGGCAGAAAAGACTAATAGGGATTCTGTTCTTTGTAAGCTCTGCGGCTCGCTTTGGCAGCTACCCTGGATTAGGAGGTGAGGTTGGAGGGAGAGGCCTGCCAGGGGGTGGGTGGTCCAAGCAGCCCGGGGCCACCAGGCCTGGCCTCTAGCCCCCCCACACGACCCCAGCCATCACATGTACCACATGATCACACGTGACACACCCTGTGTGACTGTGTGTAGCACGCAGTGCCGTCATGGGAGACACGCGGTAATTAGACATGTGATGATGTCTAACATGCAGTCTGTAACCTGAACAGTGTGGTCATGTGTAGTGTGCACCGTGTGGCCAAACACATGCATTGTGATCAAATGTAACACACATGGTGATTATGACACGTTCAATGTCATCATCTCTAACCCAGGCAGTATGATCATGTGCAATATGTACAGTGAAGCCAAACACGTGCAGTGTGACCAAATGTAATACATGTGATGTGATCACACATGACATGGTGTTGTCATGGCTAACATGCACAGCATGATGGCATGTAATATGCAGTGTGATCTTGTGTGACATGCACAGCATGATCAAATGTAATACACTCAGTGTGATTGTGTGTAACATGCAGTGTGATCATGTGTGACACACAGTAGGTCATGTGTGGTGTGGTACACAATGGTTATAAGCATCTTATGCATCCGAGCTTAGGATATACCTCTCTCTACCAATGCAGGAGATGGCTACAGAACTATTCTAAATGATTTTTATTATGTTGATCTTTAGATGTTCAAACTTGTTACAGCAAACACATATTATTCTTTAAAAAAAAAAAAAGTGAAGCCAGGTGCTGGTGGCTCATGCCTGTCATCCTAGCTACTTGAGGAGATGAGATCTGAGGATTGTAGTTCAAAGCCAGTCCAGGCAGGAAAGTCTGTGAGACTCTTATCTCCAATAAACCACCAGAAACCCAGAAGTGGTGCTGTGGCTCAAATGGTAAAGGATTAGCCTTGAGATCGCAGGGACAGCACCCAGGCCCAGAGTTCAAGCCCCACAACTGACAAAAAAGTGAAAAATCAAAAAAAAAAGTGAAAAATCAAATAATGAAAGTCAGTAACAATGGTAAACAGACAGGAAAATGCCCAAAGGAACACAGCAGTGGGCTGGCCTGTCCCGAGAGACAGCCTGCCTGCTCCAGCTGGGGTGGGAAATGGCTCTGAAATGACAGAAAGTCAGCATGTGCGTTTTGTGGGTAAGCGTGTACGCTTTGTGGGTTAGCGTGTGTGCTTCGTGGGTTAGTGTGTGCTTTGTGGATTAGCATTGACGCTTTGTTGGTTAGCATTTATGCTTTGTGGATTAGCATGTACACTGGGTTAGCATGTGCACCTCATGTGCTATCATGTAAACTTTATATGTTAGCATGTACATTTTGTGGGTTAATATATATTGTGTAGGTTAATAGTGTGCTTCATGGGTCAGCATGCAGCCTTCATGGGTTAATATGCATGCTTCATGGTTTGGTATGCACACTTCGTGGGTTAACATGCATGTTTCCCAGGTAGGATGCAGGCTTCATGGGTTAACATGCATGTTTCCTGGGTTGGCATACACACTTTGTGGGTTAACATGCATGTTTCCTGGGTTGCTGTGCACACTTCATGGGTTAACATGCATGTTTCCTGGGTTGGCATGCACACTTCGTGGGTTAACATGCATGTTTCCCGGGTCGGTGTGCACACTTCATGGGTTAACATGCATGTTTCCCAGGTTGCCATGCAGGCTTCATGGCCACGTGGTCACCTGGGCAGCTCCTCTGTGCTCTGTCCAGCCCCGTGTGACCCACCCACATGCTGGCCACAGGAGACAAAGCAGGGAGTCGGCCCTGTAGGAAACGTGACTTGGGTGCTGAAATTTAATGTTATTTTTATGACACAAAATGTCTTCATTTGATTTTTTTTATCAACCTCTTAGAAAGACAACAAGCATCAGGCCACTCCTCAGGAATCAAGCAGAATCAAGACGTGCAGCGCGGCAGTGTGTCCCTCCCTGTACGGCGGTCAAGCTGGGAGCCAGGTCGAGTGAAGGAGACCGTGTGCCTGGAGATGCCGCGGGTAGAGGGGGGATAGGGGGACGCCCCTCCCCCAGCAGCTGAGAAGACAGAACGAATCTCACAGAGGCTGAGAGCATGCCAGACGGCAGCCGCAGCTGCCCACGCTCGGTCCTAGATTGGGTTCCAGGGCTTCAGCCACAAACAGACATGTCTAAGTGGGAGGAAGAGAAACCCCTGCTGCCTGTGTGTCCGCCATGTCCGCCACTCAGGGCCCTCAGTCCCCAGGCTGAAGAAGGAAGGTATGATGCTGGCCCGCTCAGGGGCTCTGCTGGTGGTCTGGGGAGCATCCTGCCCCGGCCTGCTCTTCTGCACATGCACACACACATGCACGCACACTTGCACACACATGCACACACACTCACATGCTTCTCCAGGAGTCTGCACCTGCGTGCAGTAGGGCCCTGGTAATAGTGGCTTTCAACGCCGCACCGTGACAAGCTGGCAGGAACGGAACACCGCACCATGACAAGCTGACAGTCAGCGCTGCACCGTGACAAGCTGGCAGGAATGGACCATCCTTGCCACAGCCCACACTTGGGACCTCAGGCGGCTCGGTTTGCAGGCATGGCTCGGCCAGGCTCCCGGTGCGTAGGACAGGAGTGGAGACCCAGGTGCACAGTGAGGTCTGGGGCTGGCGTCAGGCACCAGTGACAAGGTGACGGGGTGATGGGGTGACGGGGTGGTGACGGGGTGGTGACAGGGTGATGGGGTGGTGATGGGGTGATGAGGTAATGGGATGATGGGGTGACGAGGTGATGGCACGCAGGGGTGACGGGGTGACAGCGTGATGGGGTGACAGCGTGACGGGGTGACAGCGTGACGGGGTGATGGGGTGACAGGGTGATGGAGTGGTGACGGAGTGACGGGGTGATGGGGTGACGGGGTGATGGCATGACAGGGTGACAGTGTGATGGGTGATGGGGTGGTGACGGGGTGACAGTGTGACGGGGTGATGGGGTGGTGACGGGGTGATGGGGTGACGGGGTGACGGCGTGACAGGGTGTCAGTGTGATGGGTGATGGCGGGGTAGGGTGACGGCGTGATGACGGGGTGATGGGGTGGTGACGGGGTGATGGGGTGACGGGGTGACAGT